GGGTGGCTTATTTTATTCTACTGTATATATTTTAATTGTTATTGTTTTAATTTATTGTGTATTTTATTTGATGTTGTGAGCCGCCCCGAGGCTTCGGCAAGGGGCGGCATAGAAATGTTTTAATAAATAAATAAATAAATATCTTTATTTCCCTTTCCTGATAGATTTGTCATGATGTACTCCATAACTCAGGCTGCAAAACTGATTGATTGATTGACTGATTGATCCCATCTGAAAGTTCACTGCCTACAACTACAGCATTAGTGTCTGAAGATATTCTGCACTGAATGCTATGTTAATTCAAATCCAGAACTATCAAACAACTGTTTAATTATCATGTTTAAAAAACTGAGTTAAACAGAAATTATGATACACTTTGTGCTGAAATCTTTGGCAGGCCATTAACCCAAACCACATGATTGCTCCATGCTTCCATCCTTCATTAGAACACTTAATCCTATGTGGTGTACTTGCTAAACAGTTAATGACTTCATTCCTCAACCCTGTTTAAATATGCAACTCATCTAGCAGTCTAATTGGGAAGTTGCTCACATTGAGAACCCAACATATGGATGAAGAAAAAGATTTCCAACAACTAAACATGTATAAATAATTCAGCATAATCACCCAGATCTATATAACTTTTCTCAGTTTTCTTCTGTATTTTATACACAGCAAATTGCAAGGCAATGATAAGCAATCCAGCACCAATTGTTTGCAAACAGTTCCAATGTTTATAAAATTCAGAACATGCAACAACAAAATTAAACTAACCATTGGCATCTGTTAAAACTCAGGAAGAACATTGTATATTTCACTGCCAGAAGAATACATACAAAATTTGAAACTGGAAATATAAACATGACTTATGGCTTTCTTTTACATCTGCATCACCATGGATAGCACATTCATGAATATTAATTGATTCACTAACTGGATATTTCCAGCATGATCTAGATTTTTCTTCAAAATACATACCTTCATTTCTTTCTTTCCTATGAGGAAAGAATCCAGAAAATAATAAAAACCTTCACAAAAGTACATACCTTATGATTCATAAAACAAAATGGATCTTGTATATCATGGGCCCATGCCTTAGTGATGGAGCGCCACCATCTCTGGCATCTCCACGTAAGGAAATAGCATCTTCTGTCTGACACCCAGGAGAGCTATTGCCAGTCAAAAGAGATAATACTGGCATAGATGGACACATTTTCTGACCAAATAGACGGTAGCTTCCTATGTTGCTAGCCTCATTTAGCTAAGATTAAAGACAAGAGATTTGTCCATAGTCTTAAAATAAAAAACAGGGAAACAAAAGGTTATCTAGTATCTCACTATTCATTGTTCCAAATGATAAAACTACAAAAAAAAAATTGGTTCTGAGCCTATACAAGAATAGACAAATCAAATTGGTTTGATGCCATGATGCTTCAGAGTTTTCTTGTTTTTGCAAAAGTCTATCCAATTGAAATTTTAGAGATCACAACTATCAATTCTGGGCTTAGCCTAAGCTCCATTTCACCTGGTGTTCTCTATTTCTATCTAGGAATGAATATATATCAAACCATCTCAAAATGACCCCAAAACAATAGTGATGGAAACAAGAGAAAGGCTCACCAAAGCCTCACAAGTTGAATTGCATACTAAACCTTTGCAGAACTCAAAACAAGATGTCATGGATATTTCAGGATACAACACTGCCAGTTATTTGGTACAATTAAGAAGAAAAGTTATACCCTTCTAATATATTATAGAATTAAGAGGAGTCAAGCAATTGCGTTTGTCATGCCACATCAAAACACAGCTTGGGAAATGCAGCATTCACAAGTAAAAATAAAGCACAGTTGTATGCAATGGACCCATCACAGATCATACTCACCACCTTCCTCCACATCTTTGGAAAACTCCTTGCTTCTGGGTTCTAATTCTATGGTGCTGCTTTTGAAATTCACTAACTCATTCTCCTCCCCGTCTTCCCTTGTATTTCTGTCTACTGACCCTACAGACTTAGGTTTCTCATTAACAGGGCTCATATCTTTCAGGTTGGACTCCACTTCATTGTCAAAAAAGGCACTTGGTAGACATTTGGTTGTTGTGGTTTCCACTTTCCCCATTGTTTCTTCTTCCTCCACATCAGTTTCTTGATCTCCCTCTCTTTGGGATGTTGTAGTTTCATTTTCATATTCTGATTGTATATCAGTGTTGTGTTCATCCTCTTGCTTTTCGGTTTCACACTCAGAATCATTTTCACTGCTGTACAGTGTAGTGGTTCGGGATGAGAGGGAAGACGTATGCTTCCTGTCTACAAACATTAAACATAGATTCAGTGTATTGGTCCCTTACGTTTGGTTCCTGTAAACACTATTTGCAGATCATACAAAGAAACCTAGAACCAGTAATGAAAAGAAATTCCATCTGGAGTGAAGGTAAAGAGCTTGTCTGCTCAGTGGAAAAGCACTTTATTTACAATTTCAAAATCCCAAATTCTATCCCAGGCATCAAATATTAAAATGTGTATTGCTGATTGATAGCAATTGATAGCAAGATAATATTCTTTGCATGGATTACAAGTGACTGAAAGAGTGATGCACAATGCAAAAAGTGAAAAGAAGACAAAGTAGAATAACAAGCAGTACAGGATGTTTAAAAGCAGCCAAAAAAATCTAAAAGCCAAGTCTTTAAGATACCTGGGAGAAAAATCTTTACCTGCTGACAAAAAGGTAACAATATAGGTTCCAGTTTGGCCATCTTAGGGATAGCATCCCATAAACAGGGTACCCAAACAAGAAGGCCCTCTTCATAGCCACCCACCTTACTTTCTTCAGGAGCAGAAAGGAGTTTCTAGGAAGCAGAGAGTTTACTGTCTAGGGACCTGCTGTTAGGACAGACAGAATTAAGGCAGATAACTTTGGTCCAGTATAAAGCAATCTCTAATATTCCCCTTATTTTTATACCCCTTGAGAGCCATATTTGTTTTTCAGAGCTGCATGTTTCATTCCCATCTGATACAAGGGTGAAGGCAGCAAGAGTGGAGATATGGACACAATAAGTCTTTTTGACATGTTGTTGCTGTTATCTCTCATATGAGAGTTTTACTTATTGAATCCTGTGCTTGAGATTAATGTACTGTTTCAGTGAATTCCTGTTCACTCTGCCGTAGCTCACAGCTTCTTACTAGCTAAGACTCCAAAGCAGGAATATTTCAACCACACTATGTTGCATACTTAGATATAAAGGACTTTTCTACTTCACAAGAGTATCAGAATCATTGTGATACATCCATAGGACAAAGAAACTCCAGATTTAGTATACATATAGATGACAATAGAAGAAAACAATAACCAAATATATATACCAATTAGGAAAGTCTAAACACTAGAGCTCTTAATATATCTCTCTTAAAACTACAAACAAGACTTCTACTTCAGCACTCTTGCAGTGAGAAAGCAAAGAATGTGCCAAACAACATGGAGGGGTGGGGTTAAGATAGCTCCAAGTTGGCGAAGAGAGACATGTTCAAGCAATGATTCCAATGAAGGACTACTCAAAAAATCAATCGTGGGGGGGTGGAGCTGTTGTTCTTCATTTTATTCTTGACAAACAACTTTCACTCATATACAGATATCTAATGTTTCAACTAACCAAAAAAATCTACCAGAAATCTGTTATATACAAAACTAAAATCAACACTATAATGTATTTAATTCTTGCGACTTCCATTACATGAGTGGAGCCAACTGGAGCTGGGGGTCAGACTACACACATACTGGATACCCTTCTGCCCCCACTTTTTATGTTTTCTATGTTTCAATTAAATACAGGGGGGGTTTTTTGAACACCTTTCATGTTTTACCTGCCTATGATGTCAATTAACTAATTTCTGCTAATAGTTTAGAGTTTAATTATTATTTGCATCTGTGCCATTTCAAAAATTTTAAATGGCTTGTGAAGTTTTATAATGATAAACTTCAATAAAATATGTATAGAACATGTGTAAGAAGTGGAAGGCAGGCCAGGCTATAAAGAAGGAATATAAGCAAGTAGCAAGGAACTGCAGGGATAACAGTAGGAAGGCTAAAGTGATGAATAAACTGAGGTTAGCAAGGGGAGCTAAACACAACAAAAAAGTCTTCTTCAAAGGCAGATGAAAGAAAAGGGAATTCATATACTCACAGTGTATGGAACAATGATAGCAGTTGACAAAGAAAAGACAATTCCTACTATGGCTCAGTTTTCTCCCACACAAAAAACAAAAAGACTACAACCATCCTGAAAGTGTAGTACAAGCTGAAGGGGCAGGATGGCAGCCCAGTATTGACAGACAAGTGGTCAAGGATGGTCAATGGGGCTAAATGAGTTCAACTCTCATAAAAGAGCAGAAGAACTCTCAGAATCCCAGGTTAAAAGCGAGTTTAATGTCATTAAACAGAATGACATTCAATAGGGACAAATGCCAAGTCCTCCACAAGAAACCGAATGCACTGCTACAGATGGGAAACATTTGGCTCAACAGTACTGCAAAGAGAAGGACCTTGGGGTTGTTGTAGATCACAAGTTAAATATGACCCAACATTGCAATACAGTTGCAAAAAGGGCAAATGCTATTTGGGCTGCATTAATAGAAGCATCACCAACAGAACACATGAAATACTAGTTCCACTATACTCAGCACTAGTCAGACCTCACCTGGAGTACTGTGTCCAGGTCAGGGCACCTAGGTTTTAAAAAGATGCGGAAAAGCTAGAAAGGCTGCAGAGGAGGGCAACAAGGATGATTCGGGGACTGGAGCCGAAGCCCTGTCAGGAAAGATTGTGAGAACTGGGCATGTTTTGGATCAGGAAGAGAAGACCGAGGAGAGATATGATAGCACTTACAAGTACCTGAAAGGCTGTCGCAAAGAGGAAGGGCAAGATCTCTTCTCATTCCTTCTAGAGTGCAGGACATGGAATAACGGACTTAAATTAAAAGAAACCAGTTTTAGATCAGACACCAGGAAGAATTTCCTGCTTGTAGAGCAGTACAGCAAACTCTATGTTTGCATAAGCCAAAAATGAATTTTCATATATATATCCTTAACTTTGCCCTTAACTTTTTTCTTTCTGTACAATCTTATCTTCAAATTTATTATATTTTCTACATTTACCATTTTTCTTCAACCAATCTTTCGTCCTTTGATCTAACTTGAGTATATTATAACAAGTTAAATTTCCCTCTCCTAATGTTGTATTTGTATTTTCTTTACTCTTCATTTTCTCTGACCATTCTTTCACCTTAATAACATGTTTATTCTTGAAAATTTTCCTCAAAGTGCTCCTCAAATTCTCAGGAAATCCTTTTAATTATATAATTAGATGTAACTGCAAAATTGATGGGACGAATATATCTCTATATTTATTCGAAATTTGGACCACATTCTTGAAAAGGGGGTTTCTATCTTTTTAATAATCTTATTATCCTGTTAAAAATATTTAATAAGGATCTCTCAACATACTGGAATTCTAGTTTCAGGCTATAGTATAACATCCAGGATATGCTTCACCTGATTTGCTATATAATAAAGCTTGGCATTAGAAATACCTAAACCTCCTGTTTCCTGCAATGTATACCAACTTTTTAAAATAAATCCTTGCTTTTTTATCACCATTATAAGATTTATTAATCATATTTTGCCAGTCTTTCAAATCTTTCTCTATTATTTTAATTAGTAACATCATAAACAAGAAATTTATCTTAGGTAAAATCTTCATTTTACATCCTGCTATTCTACCGAATCAGAATAATAACCATAATCCACATATTAATATTAACCTATTAACCTATTCATATATCTCACATATTCATGGGTAGTTTATTACCATATTTATAAATTCTTTTCTTATTTATAACCTACTTATCTTCTAATATATAATAAATACTACTTGATAGTTACCCTCCCTGTCTCTTAATCCTACTATTTCTCACATAAAATAGATTATGAATTATGCAACATTCTCATCTACTGCCTCTTAACCACCAATGACTCTTCCTCTACTCAGTTAGTGATCTAAACCAGATAAAGACTGCCAACTACCCATTCCTGTTCCTCTCTTTCTTTTTCATTCTGGAGAAGCCCTAGAACTCCCTTAAAATCCTCTTCTTCCTGGTCACTATTCTGAATCAAAGAAACTCTACCTACTGCTCCCTCTTCTAACTCTGAAGTAAATTCTTGATCTTGTCTATTCTGGTCCAAGTTTTCAATTTCTTTCTTCCCTTGCTCTTCATCTAGAAGGTCCCATTCATGCACCAAATTTAAGCCTTGTTCCAGCAAATTTGTTCTGTGATATTTTCTGGTTTCCCCAATTATATTTGATGGAGTTCTTTTTCATTAAAATACTCTTGACTGCTAGCAATGAACATCTAAATGATATAGTTTGAAAACATACATATATCTTGTAACACTTGAATAGGTGCATCCTTCAACTTCAAGTGGCCCAAATTTTCTCTCCGCTTTCTCATCAACCTTTCTTTCTTATAGAAGTTGGAGAATCTTATCACTGCATCTCTCAGGGATAGTCTGGATCAAGGTTGGAAACCAACACAATTTAGCCTCTCTATATCTTCTTCCCATTTCTCTTCTGGCATTTTTTATTTCATTAAGACATGTAAGAACATCACTTCTAAACTGTCTTTCTTCCAGTGGTGATTGTTCTGCTATGTTTCAGTTGTAGACGCCTTCTACATTTTTGGTCCTCCAAATCAATCAACTTTTTCTACAGCTTTTTTTTTCCAGGTTGGCAAAATATGTGAGGTGCATTAGTTCTAGCCAACATATCTATCTCCTGGAGTTTCTTCTCTATTGTCTAAACTTGGTTCTCCATTTTTGTAAAAGCTTTCTGATTTTCAATTTCTATCTGGTTAACAATAGGCTTTGCCTGTTCAGTAAAGGTTTTTTCAACTGTTTAAATTCCTGAGAGAGCCTTTCATTATCACCTTTCAATTCTTTAAAACTTGAATTCAAAACCCTTTTAAAAGCTGTCATCATCTTGTCCTCAGCTATTTTACTGCTCCCTGAAGCATCCTCCAATTTCTCTTCACTCTCTGTACATGTTAACCTAGTAGCTCTAGTCAGACTCAGATCTGATGATCTTTTTTGTTTTCATGTGTCAGAAAGAATGAGCATTTTAGATAGATAGGTAGATCTTTATTACGGTCAAAGACCAGCTTAATTTGAAGAAATAAATAGATTTTTTTAAAAGAGGAAAATACATTAAAGGTTATCTGTCATAAAATCCCAGTTGGATTATTGTGTTGGATACTCCAACA